AAATTTTATTGTGGTTGGGAGCATGGTAGGGAGACAGACCGCAAGGTAGGATTGCATTTTGCCTTTTAATAGTCACATAAGTCAAGTCCCTGCAATAACTCTGTATGTATCTTTACACACACACACACATATATACATATATGTGTACATAGACATAATGCACAGAGATGAATATATGTGTATACATACACACACACAGCCCGCTGGCTCTGTTTTCCCAGTAAATCCCTGCCTAATGCACTAATACAGATGCCATCTTACTCTGTAAAATTTGCTGCCATAGAACATTGTATTACAGCCAAGGAGCCTGAGTACAGACAACTTGCTCACTGAAAGTCCAGTGTCCACTTCTGTGTCATTGCTCACAGTGTTCAGCCTGGCATCCATCAGAGGTGAGTAATGGTTTACTGGGCTTCGAGATTTCCCTACAGAAAATCTTTCCTCTGCGTACCAGTCTGACCACGGACCAACAAGTGGCAACAGTAAGGTGGGAACAGGTAGAGGAAATCAAAAGGAGTCTGCTGAAACCAGTGCCACTGGGTGCCCAGACGCCATTCCCAGACCCATGAGAAATGCTGCTGGGAGTGAGAGGGAAATGACTGATGGAGAAGGTTGGCTAAGAACAGGCTGAAGGCTCAGCAGCTTCTGGTGATAAAGATTTAAGTTTACATAATTACCAGCTCTGACAAACCCTGCTCTCGGGAAGGGCTGATTATAAAGTAACTCGGGAGAGATTAAATCTGCTGTTAGTTTGAGGCACTCTTGCAAAGCAGATGCTACTTTTCTTGTCCTTTAGTACCACAGGAATTCATATTCTTCTCAGATGACATGTTAACTTGCTGCCATTTACCCCCAATGCATCACAATCTCAGCGGGAAGTCACAAGCACCTAGGAGGCCTCCATTAGTGTTTGTTGAAATTTTTTTCCCTTCATAACTTAGTGTTTCCCTCCCCTCCCTGGCTCTTGCTCCAATTCTGGGAGTTGCCTCTGAGTAGTGTGAAGGGGAAAAGTAGGGGCCCCCGGGGCCCCCTGTGGGCATCTGGCTTGGGTATAGTGGGCAGAGGTGCTTGGAGCCGAGGCTGGCTCTGCTGGAGTATCTGGCTCTGACTGGCTGGCTAAGTCAAAGAGAGACCCTCTGTCTAGAACCAGCTAAGGTGTGTTAAAAAATC